GGAGCCACAGCCAGAGGGAAGCTAAAGCACGGTAGAGGCACAGCAGCATACCACCCCATCCCCAGCAGGGCCCTGTGCTCAAAAAGATCCACTGAGTTCCACTGAACCTACAGTTTCTGCATCTCATAACCAACATTTTATCTCTGCCTGAACTGACATCTTCACTTTAAAGATTAAACCAAAACTGAATAGGCAAAATAGTCTGTTGTAGCCACTTTGGTATTGGATTTCTGAGGCTACTAATGTTTCACAGACAGTATTTAAGCCACTGGTCAGCATGACTTTCACAAAAGCATCCTGATGATCTTAAAATCCCAGCTTTCAAGTGTTGAAATCCCAAACTGATTCCCACTATTATGAGTGACAGCCACCAGATCACTACAGCACAGAGTTCTCAGGGGCCACCTGCCAACGCAACACGTTAAGGGATCTCTGCGTACCCCCACTATCAACTCTTCCTTGTCAAGGCACAGAGATTGTTACCAACTGGCTGCTAAAACACTCAAAAGTCGCAGCAGGTAACTTAGGCTAGTCATCAGTGACTGTTTTTCTAGATGACTCAAACAGGGAGCAAACAAATAAATAGGGCAAGCAATAGATTGCAGCCCTACTGCTGTTAGAGTTTCGCAGGCATTAACATTCAGTCAGCCCTAACCTTGGCGCTAACATTATTTCTGCTGTAGTAGTTGTAGTAACAAGTGAATAACTGGCACTGAATTTCAGCAACGTGACAAAATTGTTCAAGTCTGCAATCAAATAAGATTTTACATTGACCTTGCGGACAGGTAAGAACAGTCCAATTCACCTTACTGGTAAAAAAAAAAAAAAGAAAAGAAAGACTATTCCAAAAACTGCTACTCAAACTGGAATTCTGTAAAAAATTATATCAATTCAAAACTCATGAAATACTCAAATATTTGAGTTTGCGGTGCTACCCACACTTCTCATTGGATCAGCAGAAAGCTAATAGGCAGGAGATGGATTCATATGAACTGCAAAGTCAAATGGAAGCCTTTCTAGGTGCAATGAGAACTTCTATCTATCTTAACTCCCAATGTCTCAAAATTGTTACATAACGTTGGCTGACGAAACACTTAATTAGCTCTTGGTATTATATAGAGTACTAGAGTCTAGCCATTGCAGCAGTTTATTGGAGATTTTGCAGTTTAACCACAAAGAGCCTAACTTTCCTCCTTTGAGTTATTACAGAAATAAGTCTGTAAAAATCAAGGCTCTTAAAGCCCATTCATTGAGGAACTGAGTAGAGCCAAAGCAACAGTAAAACTTACTTCCATACTGCTGATTTTCTTATTACACAGGGACATCCAGTCAGTCCTAAACTATGATAGATTTGAGCTGAAACCCAAAAGATGGACGTGTTTCTATAGTCACCATCTAACAGAGAGATGCCCTGATTTCAGAAACAGCAGATCAAGAAGAAAATTATACTAGGAATCTGCTGAATCACTGTACTTCCCTGCATCATGTTCCCTGTAGTGAAAAGCACTTTAGAATCCTCTGCTAATTAGTTTCAGTTTATTTTAATAGAGTTACTAAAGAATTGTGCTTGCCCTTTAAATGATGACAAGTGCTAAACTTAAAAAAAAAAAAAAATCAATCAATATAAAAAGCTTTTTGGAACAACGGGACAAGAAATGAAGTGCTGAAGTATTTCCCCTACATTCTCATATGTTGTTCAAAAAACAAGACAAACAGGTATTCCACACTAAACGGGGCATTATGCACTTCCAAACAGAGTTTTCTTTCTGCATTAAGCCACCCTCCTGTTAATAAAAAACAAAATCAATTGGAAAAGAAATTCGTCTAATTGCAATGGCTAAGGTATAATATTTTGTGCTGTGCTTTACGGATTATTTACTTCCCTACTCAAAAAGTTGACTAATGTCTATTTCTAGAGAGAAAGTAGATTTTTACATAGCACAACACTGTTAGAGAAACCACTTTTCCTCTCGTCAGGTTCTACCTAAGACTGCTTAACCTGCCCCAAAAATTCAAGGCTTCCTTTGCTGCCCTTATTTGTAATATTCCATAGTCTGGTAGTAACATAAATTAGCATAATGAATGTATGGAATCAGGGCAAAGGGAAAAAAAAAAAAAAAAAAGACGTGGCCTCATAACTGTTTGAAGCTAATTTATTGCATAGGATGAATCAAACATAATCAACTTTTATGATAAAATTAAGACTTTAAGGTTTATAATGCAATGTTCAGATAGTTTCATGGAAATAAATGCTATTTACAAGACATAATAGAATAAAATTTAGTATCAAGATTCCTTATGGCAATCCATTTTGATTGCTTGCAGTCAGAGAGAGCAGACTAAGGAGCCAAACAAATAGTTTTGGGTTTTGTTTTGTTTTGTTTTTTTTAAATAACTTAGGTGGTCTTACTTACTGCCAATCCTTTATTCATATATTCATATGATTACATTGTTCTGGTAAGGAAAAAAAATTATCACAGGGTAACAAGTAATCCCATATCAGCTAAACTATAGTGACTGATTGTGCAAGTATTCTTAAACCATTGCAAACGTGAAGTTAGTTTACTGAACTAAATACATTAGTCTATATCTCAATGAAAGACATTTAAGCTAACGTTTCACTTTACATTTGTAAGAGGTTACCAACACACGTATAGACAACCCAGTTCAATCTATGATGGTAACTCACTGAACGATAACAACTCATTATTAACTAAATCAACCACAAATAACTGTATAAAATATTAACTTATGTAAAGTGGAAACGTTTGTCTTGCCTTTGTCTCACATCATCTTTTGTATTTCAAGTCTAAACAACTCAATCTAGTGCTGACTACTTAATCCATAATATCGTTTTTCTTCAAATCTCTATGATGCATGCCACTACAGTTAGAGACATACTAATGTTCTACATAAAAGGAAGAAAAATACCAAGCTCAAAATTTTCAGTTTTACAATAATTTATTCTGCAAAGGTAGCCACGTTATTTTAATGGTCTTGTGTAATGTACACACAAACATGTATACACATACAGTGTATCAAACTAATGAACATAAACACTAGCAACAAAGTGAAAGATCTAGCATACACTCATTTGCTTTGAAAATAAATTACTATCAAGTAAGAAATTGAGATAGCCTATACAGAAATACATTCAATAACTAAACAGTGCTAACATCTCGTAGCATTTTTCCAAAGACAAAAATATTGCTCGATACAATAAAAATGAACCCTATATTATGTGCTCTTGAATAATAAAGAACAACCAAGGATTCAACCAAGCACAACTCTCTGAGAAGTTCTCTGAAGGTTTACACTGGTAGTCAGTGGTATTACTATTACCTTCAGTCTAAGGATTTGTGTCTAATATGGGATCTAATTTGCCAGAAAATAGTTACCATAGGTCTCAAAGGTTCAATAAACTACTGTCACCAAGTGATAAGGCTTCTACATTTCCCTGAGGCTCACAGGGCTTTTACTTGGGATTTCCCAGATAGAAATACATGCACACATGCTGCGCAGTACATGAGCAACAAATCTAATACAACCGGAACTCGAGACCTACTGTATTTCATTTGCATTTGCCCACACGCAGTAAGTATAGTCTGTACACAGTGTGCCCCAGACAGACTATTAAATTTAAGAGTGCTGGCTTAGTATACCTCAATTTGTCAAATCCACTGTGCATGATTTTTTCCCAGGATTTATGGGCATCAAACCAGCTCAGATAAAGGGCCAATTTCCTATGACAGAACATTCAGATCACAAAAGGAAGCATGCCCAGACAAACTGAGATATGTGGCGGCTAAACCTCAACATCAGTCGTTATTTCACTGTTTCAGCATGCTAAAAAACAGTGTGAGAAATGGAAATTCACAGCCATTAGATGCACAGATCCAGGATATGAAAACAAACTTCTGTAAAAACAGGACCTTTTCCTAGGTTGACAGCTAGCTAGCTTTTGTAACCAAGCTCTTCTGGCAGTGATAATACAGCAGCTGCGAGGCAGATACCGGTTTAACTCAGATCTGACAATTCCAGAAAAGAAGGATATTTGAAATCTCCCCTGTGTTATGTCGATGACAGACAATAATCATTTCACATGAAGTACATGCTCTTTTTTTAGTTTTAAGCACATACTAACACTTGCCAAAGTATGCAATTACTTTGTAAAGTAAAGTGCATATGGTATTTTCCCAATAGCTTAAAGACATTATGACGTAGCATTCCTATGCAACGTGGAGCTAAAGTGCTAAGGAACTCGCAAACTTTGTCAGTGTGAGATGCACGAGCCAATCAGAAAGTCCTTAGAAGCAGGATGTGAACATATGAGAATAAAAGAGATGCAAATTTAAAAAGCAAATTTTTGGAGTGATAAATCTGTCTAATTGACATCATTTAGGAAACAACAGGGATCTGATGTTCATTCTCAGAAGTCCATGAATCAAAAAAATAATTTGAAATTTGTAGCCTTTGTCTTATCATTATCATCTCTACTAGGTCCTGCCTACAGACAAGTCTCAGTCAAGAAGAATACATTTTTGATACATCTCTTTTGTCTTCTGTGATCCCAAAGGAAAAGAAGAAGGAAGCTGAATACTTTTGTTGTTGTTGTTTTTACGCTCATCACTTCAAGCTAAACTGCTGAATCATTATGATTATAGTATCGTCATAATATTATTAACTGAATATTATATTATGATACTGATTATTTTTATAGTATTGATTTAATCTGGACGAACTAGAGATTTCTGTAATTTGGGAAGGTACTAACTGTCCAGCTATTAATCAATATTCATCAAACTCCCTTTTGATGGGAATCCTCTGCCCTCCACTTTTGCCTGATTGGACAAGGTAAATTAACTCATTTCATACGACTGGAAGATTAGGCTTTTAACAAAGCAAAAATGAAAAAAAAAAAGAAAGGGATAACAACTGCCTACGCTCCATCATCTGGCAGTGATTCAGGTGTTTCGAAGAGTTAGTAATTAAGTACTTACCACTCCAATTCCTTCAAAAGCAAATACAGCAGTCCCAAAAAAGAGTGGATATTTCTTCCAGCCAGCCACAGGAGGCAGTTTTCGAGGATCAGCTATATCCTGAAGACAAAAAAGTAAAACACTGCTATGTAATGAACATTATCAGTCTTGATAGGTGTGTTACCCTTTACTAAAGCAAAATGAGGATGTGCTGATAATGCAGTATACACTGCTATTTCCACTCCCTGGTTTCCCGCCCTGCAACAAACTCAGTCCTTTACACATATTTATAAGCACTTTCCACCCACCCGCAGACACTTGCAAGGATATTTTATCCTAGGATCACGTTACTGACATTAGAAATATTCCCAGTTAAATTATCACACTGGTATATATGAGTGAGCATCAACTAAAATGGAAGGGAAATCTCACACCTCAAGCTTGACATTTCAAGTCTGCAAACTCAAGGCTATTCAGACAGTTTTGCATTTCTAATCTGCCTTCATACTTCACAGGTATTCCTCATAATAGCTTACTATTATGGGACAGTAAAAAGGGATAGTAAAAAGAAAAAATGTACATATACGTTTCTCTCAATCTCCCTCAGTCTCTTCTATGCAACTATTTCTTCTGCCTCCACTCCCAACCAATACCTTCAACAAAGCTTGTTTTTCTGCCTTCTTCCCTCATTCTCCCTTTCCTATCACTTTCTTAACACTCTCATTAAAGCTTTCTCAGACAGGGGTACGCTCACACACCCAGATATAACATGTGCAACTGTGTTTACCATTTGTTTTTCAAAAATTACATGAAAGAAAAATGTAGGGGTTTCTAAATGTGATTTTTTTAAACTGTCAATCCAATTGGTTCCATTTTGAAATGCCGCCCAACATTAGGAAAACGGCAACCCAGAAAATGCAACGACTACTCAACTTCCAAGGAGACGAAAGTCTGCAATATATACTCTTATATACATAAGCCTTAGAATTTTCCTGATCGTATTAGAGAAACAGTAGAACTAAATGTTACTGTTGAAACTGCTCTTTGTTGCTCTGCTGCAACAAAACGATTGCCCACAGATTATAACCTGTACTATATTATAAATTTCGGATGCGGCTGATGGAAATTCACATATTCTCCCACTCAAAAACTCAGAAGCCTTGTAATCTGCATTTTTATTAGCTGAACTGCAGCAATATTATCCTTTTTCTTAAAAGTACAGTAAAAGCATGTCTCAAGTATTACAGTGCCTCCTACCTCCAATAAATTACCATATAAGTTCTGCTGTTCAGAAATCGTCAATTGATATAAACCACAGATTAGCTACCACATGCAGTAAATGAGAGATGTCACATCGAAAAATAAAATAATCTTTTTATACTCACTCTAACAATATACTGGTAAATGATCACCAGGCTGACAGCCATGGACAGATTGGCAAGCAATGAAAGGAAGGACAGGCTCTTCAGGTCACGAATAAAGACCAAGAGGATCATAAACGGCAGAAAACATAGCATGTATATGCGTAAATCAGTACTCCTCTTCTCAGAAGAATTGCTGGTGGCACTGGCATTTATGGAAACAGTCTTGTTTTCCAAAAATCCTTCATGGACCTGTTGGAAAATTTTTATTTTTTTAAAAAACACTGGTAGCACTGAATTTTTGTATATAGTCACATTGTGGTTTTTCTAAGGCGCTATTTGTCCCTCCAAGTTTACCTGCTGAAAGCTAGGTACTTTAGGTGCACAGTGCTCTCAGTGCAGAAAAGACGACAGGCATCTTTAGCTGGTGACTCATCCTTAGGACAAATGATGAAATTGAGCCCTAAAAGACCTTGTCTTTACCCCACAACTGACTAAATAAGAAATCTACATGAGCAGTTTAGATCAGATGTCTGTCTTTTATACAGCTACAGTTAGGTAAAATGAATCTAGGTGAGATCAGTCTGGGCCTAAGTATTAAGAGTTTGAATTTTCTTGGGGAGAGTAAGGAGTAAGATGATCAACTGCTGTTGATGGATTTTTTTTTATGCCTTTGCCTTCCACATCATAGCAGCATACATACAAAACAATGTTAGAATATGAACGCAGCTGTCTTTATTTTAATTCAAATTACTGTATTTAACGACATCACTGTTTTCTTAATCAACTTTGGCTCCACTTAAAAAGGCAAGAGCTCTAAGAGCGTTTACACAGACCTCTACCATTAAATCAATTTAAATTCATACCTGCAAATAATTAGTAGTACATAATGTGAAAGTGTATTAGATATGTGAATATCTATTACAGCAACTCAGGGCTATTAATTTGTTAGCTTGAGGAAGAGGAAGAAGCGGAGATAAGAGGACAAGCTGGAGAGATGGTAAGAAATCAAAGGATCTTTGGGATTGTGACATTTTCATGAGTTAGAAGGGGTTAGCTGATAACGTAAAACAAGGAGTACGGAAACTGTGTCATTTAACTGTGGCAATATTGTCAAACTCAGATTTAGTAAGCCTAACAGAAAAATTCCACAGTTCACCTTAGCTCCGCTGTTTCAGATAATCCACAAACTGAGGAAGACAGACTTTATTTAAAATTCTTTTCTTTATAGCAAAGAGCACTAGAAAGAATTTTTCATTATGAAAAAGGGAAAGATTAAAAAAAAATACAGCAAACATTCGTTTTCCAGAAATATCACTTTAAATGAAAATGGATAGGACCTGTCATTACTAAAACACTGTAGATTTCCACCTCCCAAGAATCTAAAGAGTGTCACCTAAAAGACATTTAACATCTGTTGGTTTTCATTAAGATAAAGCTTTCAGAAAGAAAGCTACTGAAAAGAGGTAAATACATGAAAAACTGAATTTCAGTGAATTCAGAGCTGCAATAACTTTGGCCAAGCATTATGCCAAACGCTTAACCAAATTACTTGCCTAATGCCATGCGAGTGAAGTAAGATTTCCTGTAGGAAAGTTTCCTGTTTTCCCACAGCACTGAAAATAAAAATACAGAGCTAGCACTTTAACAATAGGCTTGCATGTTTACTTCCTTGCACGTAGTCACAGGTAGCCAAAGACGTTCGACTCACAGGCACACATAAGAGGACTTTCTAAGAACTACAATGCGATTTGAGCACGTAACATGTAACGTAACCTTCCGTCCCTTTGAAAGCCTCATCCACACTAAACGTTTAACAGGCCCTGAGTTTATGTAAATATCAATAACTTGATGAATTATTTCAAAAAAACCTCAATATTTATTGCTAAAAAAGAAATATCAGGCAGGATACCATCCACACTCTAAAACATCTTTAAAATGCCACACTATAAGCCAGCTGCTACCCAAAATCAGTTTGAGCAACAGTTTTCTTTTGAGAGAGAGACTTGCCACGTGTATATGCAAAACTCAGTAAGAAGTTCCTGAAATCAGAAATATTTGATTTTTTTTTCCTATTAGCAACACCAAATTCCAACTAGACATTTAACCGGAGTTTACTGGGTCACACTACTGGACCATGCAGCGTGGAATATTCCATAGAATTCAATTCAAGTTCACATCCACCATGTTCAGCTACCATGATGATGGGTGTAAAAATCAGATCTCACCTCTGTTAGGTCAGAGAAGAAGGGCCATCTTTAATAGCCTTTATATTTATCCGTCTTTTTTCTGACAAAAATATTGAGGAGAATCATAGAGAAAGAACACACTACAACTGCACACACTCTCCACAGACATTATCAAGTTACTACTGATGCAGACATGTGCAAGCCACAGTCAACTAAAACCACCAGAATGGGACTCCCTGGCCCTAAATTCAATACAATCTCTGATTCTTATTCTGGCCAAAGATCACCCTGAATCTCCTGCTGTTTTCAGCTAGTGCATCTCTGCAGAAGGCAGTCATGTCAGGACAAGACATAGCAGACATTATATGTAGCTGCCCCTTTCCAATGAATGGAGCAAAGCAGTATGAAATACCATCTGAGTATGAGCCAACTTGGGCAAATCTCTTCACTTATTCAGTCAAAGATCAGTGCTTGAAAAATACATACAATAGAAAAAAAAACCACACACACACTTCAAATCCTCCCATGGGTAAAAGCAAGTCAAAGATATGTGACACAGACATGTACGTTTGCTCCTTGAGAATCATGGCTTCCTTTCCTTTTTAGAAAGGAAAATATCTTTTCTACTAAAGTAGCCTTGGCTTCTGGAGTACCTGAACAAAATTTTACTATGCTCATGCTCATCCTGACTACAAAAGAGACAAAACCTGAGATACGTTACAAAGGCTACATCAAAAGTGGAGAAGTTAAATACCTAAAAGTTTTTAAAAGCCACAATAAAGAACACTTGTGCTGCATACTCCTGATCCTCTCATGCATTCCCATTAACATGTGGTCATTAATTACATAATCCTTCTTCCTTTCCAAGCATCTACCCTTACTCAGCGCAAGATTTCGTAAGCTGCTACACAACATTTCCTTTTCTTCTCTGTATATGCCACAGAGCTCAGTGTACTGTTCAACTTCCAATGTGAACTCATGTTACATGCATTTTGCTCTGTGCTCATCATGACTGTACATGGAGTTCCACAGACATCTCCCAAAACCACACGAGGAAATACCATGAGGGTTTTAGAAGTCAAGTACATAGTCACTGAAGTCACTAGGCATGACATCAGAAATCACTTCAGCTATTCAAGCACTAATTCAAATGTTCGGTATGATGTTTGAAACAGCTTTCCTTGCTAGAGTCTTTAACCTGATTTACCCTAAGCACAGTGTCCATTGACTTCAGCAGTACCCATGAAGACCAAATATTTCTGCAAATCTGGTTATCATGTGCCCAGTATCAAGCACCCAGCAAATGACTAATAAATCATTAGACTGCAGAAAATTCAGTTTAAATGATTAATGCACCTCATATAAGAACAGTGGCAGAAAAAATTCAGTTGCCTTAGTCTCTTTGACTGAGACAATTCTCTCGTCACCCACATCCCAAAGTCTGCTATTTCTGCCCAGTGTTCTACAGACTTTTCAACATCTTGTGAGATCAAAACAGGAGTCTGTGAGCTGATAGCTTCCTTCCAATTCCGTCTTTATTGAACTCAGAGCAACATCCAGCACAATACACAAAGCCAGGTCTGGCACAAAACCAGTATGTGATCAGGTAGATAAAGACTACATTGCAATCCTGTAACTTGGCTTGAAAAGGCCAAATCATTGTTTTACAGATCATTTAACTTTCCAAACTATTTTTTTTAACTTTTCTAAGTTTATTTCTGGGTATAATTTCCTAATTTTTTTCTTTCTTTTTACAAACATTGTAAAAAAAAAAAAAAAACCAACACCTCGATAGGTCACCCTCAAGGTTGAAGCCCACAGAGGTAATACAGTGCTCACATACAGCAAGAACTTGTTGCCATATTTTAGCTTTATCAGTAAACAATGAGAAAAGGACTTTTCCAGAGAACTCTGCAAACATTCATGAACAGTAGAAGAATGTCTAGATCTAAGGTCTTCTATTCCACAAGCAGGAAAAGCAAAGTAACTATGGTATAGAGGAGACCATCCTTTTCCTACGTCAGCCTTCCTGCCATCAGCCTCCAGCTCCGTTCCAATTTCATCGTTCTTCTCCATATCTAGACACCTTAACCCGTAAGCCACTTAACTGCATCCTACAAGATGTGCTCCATCAACCTGAGTTTCTTTGCTGCTTTGGCAAACATTCCTTAGGAAAAGCCTTCCTTGAAATTTAATATAACCAACTGAAAATAGGGTCTTGTACCACAAAGTATCCAGAAAACATATGATGCAATCAGCATTGCTAGATTTCTACAGGTACTAACCAGAAAAGATCTAGAACCAGAAGCTATATCAGACATCCATTAGTAAGAAAGGAGAAATCAAATATTTCACATCTTAGTTCACCAGTCCCCCATTCCCTCTGTTCATCTCTCCCATCCTTCCATCACCCAAGTACAGATTGAAAGGGGTACCAAGTTTTGTTCTTTGGTGCCCTCTACAGGACAGATGTATGCAACAAAGTTGCTGGGAAGAAAACATAACCTTTTCCCTCCAAGAGAAAAGCACAGAGAACAATCTGAACTAAGTACACTTGTGAGACTTCTGACTTGCTGATAATGAGTTCATTCACAGAGTGTATGTCACAGGTCTCTACAGCTACTGGTTTTGCAGAGGTTGTCATCTCTGTGGGATCCATTCCCAGCTTTCAACTCTCCTTTGAGAAAGCAGCAACACATTTTCTGAAAAGACTTCATTTCTTCAAAACCTACAAGGGACAAAGCCAGTAAGTGCTCAGTTTTGCCTTTTGTTTAAGGTCAAAATGAAAGGATGATGACTGGCTGGTCAAATACCTACTAGATGGGAAGGCTTTCAGTTTGAACTTACATTATGACGCACGCAATAAAAATTCCCATCTCAGAAGACCAGTAAAACAAACGTCTGATATCAAGTAGGACTTTTAGGTATTGAGATAAATTATGACATAAAGTGACAGTGGGACTGTGTTTAAGGTTTTTCTGGTTTTGCTTTTCCCTGAGACACAAATTACAGAGTATCCAAATTCTGTACATATACATATGTGTATATATATACACACAAATTCTTTACGTCTTGACAGCATCTTCCTCTGTAGAACTTGGAATACTTTCTAAATATAATAAAAAAACTTGTCTACATGGGGAGAAAAAACATAATATTTATTATGCAGTAACTGCCCATGGGGACACTTCCTCCTCCTCCTCAAAATACACTAAACTATGCAAAGACACCCACGGGGTGGAATAAGAGTCCATATGGATGATTAACGCGCAGTAATCTGCCTTACCTTATTCCTCACCCACTTCACTAATTACACAAGCACATACATTCAGACACAGGCTCAGATTCATCCTCATTAGCTTTATGTCAAGTGGCCAACTTTAATCTTATGAGCAGCAAATATGGCAGAGTATGCTGGCAGGGTCTCACCAGCTCACTAAGCACACGGAGAAGAAAGCGCCACAAGCTCCAAGGGCCTGCGGCCTCTGCCTGACCAGCCGAGGGTGCTGGCTGACCTCCTGCATACTAACCAGGCAGGCAAACATCAGTCAGATGAAAACCAGGCTGCTAAATGCAGCTGCTGAGCACACAAAGAGAAAGGACCAACAGATACCAGAGACTCCATCAGCAAAAAGTATCTCCACAGAGGAGAAAAAGAGAAGCTTAAGAGGACTGAAGACTATGAGACAAAATACACAGCTGGGAGCAAGAGCAGCTGTCATAAAACCTGGGTTTTTGGGGGGAAGAGGTTGTTGGTTTTCTTTTTTTAATTAGTCAAGGTTGGTTATGGGGGAAAATGGGGAAAGTTTGGTTTTTTTGAAGGCTTGGGGGTTGTCTGGACTGGTGTATGGGCTTTTTCAGCCGTATGGGTGATCATGTGCAATTTTTAATTGAATTTTTTATAAAAATGGCATGACAAAATATGTGAGCTTTAGATATTCTTAAATATATTAACTTGCAAATCGATGAATTGCAGTATTTTTCTAATAATTAGTATTCAATCCATTTTAAAGAACTACAACATACTGAAATGTGTGTGCATACACCTAACACTACATAATATATGTAACAGTATTTACAGTAAAAAGAACTATAAAATGCTATACGAGCAGTACTGTTTAATATTTTAATTAATAAAGCCGAAGACATAATAAGCAGGTTTTAAACATTCATTCCATTTGCAGATGGAAGGTGAAACAATGCAGAAGAGGATTAAAATTCTACCTTGAGAACTGTCCAAAATCAATTCAGTAAGGACAAATAAAGAGTTCTGTAGGTAAGCAGAAATTATCTGCATATATAGAAGAACTAGAATTGCCTAGAACACAATTCTGCGGTAAATGATCAACAGATCACAGTGGATCACAAGTCAGTCATAAGTGAACAATACCATGCTCTTCCAAAATGACAGTTATACGGAAGCGCAGATGAGTAACTGTGAGAAGGGAAGAGGCTAAATAAGAATCTAGTTCACCCTTCTATAAAAGGGAAGAGGCTAAATAAGAATCAAAGATTCCAGTGACATGAAAAGGGAAAAATATATTCAGGACATTAGGAAAAAGAAGTCTAAAAAACAAGGCCTAACAAAAAATTTTTCAGCAACAACTGGCTCTCAGGTCAGTTTCAGCCTTATTTTCTGATTTTTATACTTAATTTTTAAATTCAACAAACAAATCACAGGGCACTGAAGTGACAAGCACTTACACAAGATCTGGATTCAGTTCACTTCACAAATTGCTCCTTTTTTCCAAAAGCGCTTTTGTGGAAACCACGGCAGAACCTATTTTGTGCATCTCCCAGCTTCACATTTTACAAGCAGTTCTTTTGAACTTCATAAAGAAAGGAAAAAAAATTTGGAGGAAAAACAAACTAAAATCATAATTCTTTCCATCCAGTATTTCTGTATCTTTACTCACTTGTTTCACGTTTTCTGCCAAGAACACAACATAAACGCTACAAAATCCCAGTTGTGTTATCACTAGAAAAAAGTCGACAATATATCTGAGAAAGAAAAAACAAACATACATATGTTATGCTTAGGATCCAAACAATTAACCCATTTCCACATGGTATACAACTACTACTCCTTTTTACACTACAGAAAATGCTAGATTCAAATGTCACATTATTCTCAGGAGCACTGCAACGCAGGTTCCTCTTCTGGCAAAACAAGATAATTTTGTTAAGGTAACATCAAATGGGTACCAAAGTTTCTCAGAAATGCATACCCTGGTCATGTATTTTAAAGTAACATAAAATGTAATTCAAGGACTTTCGTTTAACAATGCAGTACAAATATACAAAAAAAAAAAAAGGAATATCTATTCAGTGCACATATAACTTATGCTGCAGTCCTTCAGCACTAACACAGCTGTTTTCCACTGAGATCAGAGAAGACGAAATGTCACATAAAGTCTAAGTTACAGAAGTTTCAGTAATTCAGGATAACAAATATTTTCACAGCTTACTAAACGGTTCAGTATGAATGTATCTGGATACATTTCCAGACACTGTATCTCACTGAAAAAATTCTAAATTATGGTTAATGTTGTTTTCAGAAAATGTCATGCACGCTGGTGGCCTGAAGAAATACTGTAATAAAATTGTTTTGATACAGTTAAACATACAGCAGAATACTGCCTCAGAGAACAGATTTTCCGCAGCACAGTGTCTCTGGAAACAGAATTGCCAGTTGCAGCTTATAACTCCTCGGTGCATTACAGTATTCCCATTCTATTTCATTACAAACCAATTTTCCCTCTAATTGAGTTCTACTTCATTCATATGGAGTAAGCACAAAGATCTTAAAAGAGTAGTTCACCTTAGCCTTCTTCAAGATAGGGGGAAAAACAAAAAAACAAAACTTTAAAACTGATATTAACATTGAACAACAAATCTGAGGTTTGAGGTTTCATTACTGGGTGGCATACCATAAGCATTTTAAACTCTGTAAACTCCCATATAGCAACAGATGGATCAGGCAAAATTATGGGCTTTTTCAAAAGGGGGGAAAAGTATTTAAAAGAGACAACAAGCCATTAACAACTGCATGTCATTTATTGCAAAACATAGCAAATATCACTCCATGATTTCCAATTTATATTTAAGTAGGAATCAAAGAAAGCTTCGCTTCCTCCCAAAAAAAATAGATTGAAGGCATTTATGTTTGCAGTGTCAACTTGCTTAAACAGCGAACTCTGATAAGAGAGATGTGTTTGTGGCAAAAGAGAATCGAAAACTTAAATTACTTCAATCCATTAGACAATACAGAATGCACTTCTGGCTATAACAGATCTCTTCCTCTAATACAAAACAGAATTCATTTCTTCATAGCTCCTGCAGACCTGCGAAATGAAATGCGTAACTGAGAGGAACACTCCCCATTCCTCTCCTGTTACTAGTTGGCTGCAGGAACTAATAAATAGCACTGCATAAAGATACATCAAGCACAGAGAATACGTTCTTAGAGCAAGCAATACCTTAGTGAAAAGTAAATGTCCTAACCGTTCCAAGCGTAACCATTAACTTTAAGAATCAATTTATTAAATTAAATTTTAATGTAAGCTTACCTTCCCCAAGAAGCTCTTTTCTGAAGAGCAGTCAGGGGCCCCACTTCCATGGCACAACTAACTGTATCACTATATCCTAGCGAGTATTTTTTCAACCTGAAATGAAAGAGTGGAAAAGAATGGAGTTAACGAGAAACTATCACGGCCTAGAACGCTACCTTGAAATGCTGGTGGCCTCGCAGGATTACGAGGAATCATCTGTGACACCATTCTGCAGCGGCTGAAGTTCAGAGTTACAGTTTATGCTCATCTCGCACAAGTAACACTATTCAGCACTCTATAAGCATGTGAACAATGTTGCTTCCCACTAACTCAGCATCACAACATCAGTTTCTTACAGAAGAAGTTTCTTGATAAACTAATATAATCAGTTGTGTAGGATCAGATTCTTACAACAGCACCTTAAGAAATGGATCTCATTTCTAAGAGTTGCAAAGAACTTCAATAGCACCGCAGATTTCCAACTGGAAGAGCAGTCATCTGCAGCTTTTCAGTGGTCTTGGTTTTATACACATCTTCAAAGGCCATTCAAACTTACAGAGAAAGGAGGGAGGATTCAGGAACGACAGAATCCCTTCAGGGTATAAACTGAGACAGTTTTCCCAGCTACAGGGACAAGAATAGTTTTTTGTTTCTATTCAGATCAAATAAACTTTATTGTACTTTTAAAGCATGAGACCCTACTGCTTCTCTTTAACGCCTGACAGCAAGATAAAAATGGTTAAAGAAAATCACTACTAACTGGAATACTCCCCAAGTCAACTTTGAATTCCACCCCCCTGTACTGTATATCTCACTTAGAGGCATATCTAACATTCATCTCCGCACTAATATCATTTGAACACATTTTATCAGCACCACAGTTGTGAAGAATCAAGTTTTCACAATCAAAAGAGACAGAGCTCACACATTAGTAATTCATAGTTTACTCTTTATTCCTATAAAGTACTTCTAAACAAGCTATTTATAAACTGAATGCTTCTCAAGGCTATGATTATTCAGAACCTATGAAGAAGTTACAGAAATGGGAGGGTATTATAGAAAATATTTTGCACTCCTTGTGCAATTTTCTAATGTAAATAGCTTGCAGAGCTAAACAATTCGTATCTCATTTAATGGCGCTGTCAAAAACACATTCACAAAAATGGACTCTGAAGGAGAACATCTGCATGGAAACTCAGCACTTCTCCTGGATATCATAGGCATCTTCTCCCACACAGACTAGAAAAAAGATTTAATTCAAACATTAACAACACAAAATAATTTTCTATCTAGTGGTTTTTGAAAAGGAAATTGGAAGGAGTGCCATGAAGCAAAACAAAAAAAAAACAAACAAAACAAAAAACAAAAAAAGTGTGGGCACTCATGGAGTGATCTCAGAACTCTCCATTTGAAGTAGGTACAGAAGCTATGCAACTGAAACTGCAGTGAGAAAGACCTGGCTATTTCCCAGTTAAGATAGGGAACAGGATACCAGACAAGACAAGTTAAACCAACCTAATTTTGTGTATGAGCAGTGAAGAAAGTGTTTTTCAATGTATTCAAATAGTGTTGCTCAAAGTACAGCTATCATTTATAGTTGCACCGTAAGAATTTTAAGTGTTCCTTCTTTGAAGCACAAGACTGATCTGAAGAAACTGCTACAGCATCAAGACATTCTGTAGACTGAAAATTAGAAATAGAAAAGAAGAAAGAAAAAGTAATATTCAAAGTCAGCAACAGAACGAACAGTTCCACATTTACCTCTGACACAGACAGTGGCTGCAACGCACCAAGATGTGCATACAATGAACTGATATAACTCCTATGAACACAAGGCTGATTGGTCCGATCTGGTATGGAAAAAAAAAAGGAGGACACGGGATATATAAATATGCAAAGCCATGTAAATCAAATCTTTCATGAAAATTCGCTGGGGGAATATCTTTACATGCAAGTTCACATTTTAGCAAAGACATAAATTTTAAGAATTAAAGTTATACACAACTGACTTTTTTTCCTCAGAGGAGGGTTGGCTGCCAATGTTTTACGGCCCTGCCTTACTTTTCATCAACTATTTGATAGAAGGCTTTTCAGAGGTGATCAAGCAGTAAATGGCAAATAAGCAAGAACAACTTCACTCCCATAAAAGCTTCACTGTGATATTCCCTAAGAAAAATTTGGCAAGAGAGAAGATTGCATATTTTGCACAATTCTAAACAGTGCCTTGAAGCACTTTGTCATCAACGCTGCCACTTCAGAGGCTTCTTTCCATTACGTTACATGCTTGATGATGCACAGTATAAAAAAACAGTACAGAGTTGCCACTATGCTAATTTTGACAGTTTTAAGTTACAGACAATATTCAGCTCAAATATTTGTTTTAGATAAAAGGTCTGACCAGAAGTTTTCACAGTACGTACTTGCTTTTCAATTACACTGCCTTAGGAAAGTCATTGTTTGCTACCTGGTATAAACTAGACTGCGCTATGCCCTGCTCCCCCAGAAACACAAGACTGATTTAATAAGATGATAGTGCATCCTAGGATACACAATCTGTACGTATATAGTGACGTATAGACAAAAATAAAGTAAACCCAAAAAATAATTCCCTTGGGACACCACAGAAGCCTATCTGAATCAAAATCTTTTTTTTCAGACAAAAGTTTTGCTTTCCACAGAAAAACGGTTTAGCTAACAGAAAACACAATGCATAGTCGTTAAGTCTTCAGACAGAAGCAGTAAAAAAAACTTTATTTTTTTTTAAATTGTCAGTCTCCAGTATTAACTTCACTAGACAAAAAAGGAAAAATAAAACATAGCTTTGCTGAAGTTGGTGGTGACAAACGAGAATCAAGATTTTAGTTTTTAGGACTCAATCACATCTGTCAAACTTTACAGATAATTGTTGCCACCTGTGAAAAATAAATTGAATTCTTACCACAATGCCAGCATTTTTTATTGCAAGGGGAAGACCTAGCAGCCCAGTTCCAATATTTCCTTTGAGGAGATGGGTAAGTGTTTGTATAAACCTGAGGATAAAAAAAGAAGTCACAGCAGAAGTATATCACATTAGTTTAAAAAAAAAAAAGTTCTATCGTTTACTAGCATACAGGGATCATTTGTGAGCTTCATTTACTTAAGAAGGTCCAGCACATCCAAAGGATATTCTCATTAATCTCTAGATGTGAGCTCCTTCACATGGAATATACAAGTCTGGTCTTCTTTCCTCTAGCTTGTGAAGGGCTCAATTTTCTACGCAATTTTATTGTCTTTCTGGCTCAGAAACAGACAGAATTATGAAGTTTTGTCAATGCTACTTTAAAATCATGGACAGTCCAAACAGTTACCAATTACAAATTACAATTCTGACAGCCAAGAACTTTATCAAAAAAGAACAAAAAGAAAACTTTACAAGATCTTCAAATTAAACTTTAAAACACAGATATTTCCAAAGTCTCCTGGAGTTTCTTTATTAAAAAACAAAATGAAACAAAAACTTCCTTAAACACTGCTTGAATTCTGAGTGACCTGATGATTTGGCACATGGATGCCTTCGAATATTTTATGACCAGTGCACTGCTAGTTTCTGAAGAACAGAGACCTACTCAAAAGGGGCTGCTTTTGGCAGCAAAAATCCCATACCAAGTCCTAAAGTAAAACCGCAAAACTGTACTGTGGCTGCAAGAACAACCCCTAAGAGTTCGTTACACTACTCATAAGGCACAGACTTCGGGTAATGAGTTTTAACAAGCTGGTACTTGAAAGTAATACATACGTAATGCCTTCTTCATTATCAAGTTGGTAATGCTTCTCAGCTGGTGACAAGTCATGTTCATGCTCCTCATCTGAATTTTGTTCTTCAATTAAAGGCTTCATCACCTCCATGTCTACAGAACAGAGTTAAAATAAAACCTGCTTTATAAGCAAACTAGAGTTTAGAAGTAAAAGAGAATTCCAGTAGTTCACCATGCCATGACATTTCCTGTGAAACTAACTATAAACCCGATTTAGACAGACAGATATGTACAGCACAAACTTGCACAGGAAATACTCTGTCTCTTTAAAGGGGCACATGTTCTCATTATTCACAAACAGCCTGGTTTAGCACCAAACACTGAAGTTTTCCATTAGTAAGCAACATTTTCCATCATCACCACTTTTATGTTTTAGATTATTTTGCAAGCTAATATAACATACAGCGAAACAGAAACGTCATCCATTGCTACGAAAGGATGAGATTCATCTTACTTGCTCTCAGCTATTTCAAAACTAAGCATTTGGCCTACTCCCCATCTCTCACCCATAGAGAGCAATGGTGTCTCCACAGAGCTACTCCATCCTGAAAAAGATGTCTAAAAGAGGCATCCGAGAAGACACCTCCGAACTGTAGAGACAACCAAGATATTGAATTAGATGAAATGGTTCAAACTGCAGTTTCGTGAACTTTTTAAAGAAGCATCACACTAAATAACAGTGCTAAAGAGCACCAAGCAGCCAGCAGTGAACAAAACTGTCCTTTTAGGTGACACCAATACCTTATGCTAGTTTAATGATGATGAAATTTATAACCACCTTTAAATGACCACAGCTGAGCAAAACGAATCCTGCCAACAGCAAGAAGATCATTCACTTTGCGCTTGCCTATCACGGTACCCGTTTATCAAATTTGTTGACTCAATCTCAACTATCAGTTCCACGACTTTCACAACAAAAAACTCCTCTTCTTATGTGATTTCTTCATGTAATTCTAACATTCTCTACTGATTTTTAAAAAATTGCTAAGTATTTCTAAGTGTACAAGAGCACACTTTTACTGAATTATCACATTATATATTTATAGAACTAAGGAAACATTGAAGAATACCACAAAAACATTAACTGCATTAAAACGTTCTTCACTATTCAGCAAGCAAAAATATTTAATGTTCACTCAAATATATCAACCATGCTACATTTATACCTTACGTAAGAAAAACATACTTGTCCAGTGAATATCTGTGAAACTTCTGACACTGAGAAGTGAGATTGTAGAGGCATTTAAAAGACAGGATAGACAACCTGCATTTTTAAAATATATACCGGAACACAAAACTGCCAGATACGAGCGTTACTTAGGAGTTATCATAGACAATCTGACAAAAATTACTAGTTTGATTTGAAAATATATGTGCACAAAAAAAGACCGGACATACAGAACCTTGAAAAACAGCCATTCAACAAATCATTCCTGTTTTTAAGACACCTTAAAGATGTCTAACTCAAGAGGAGGGTACTGAAGCCAACCACAAGCAAGAGCAACTTATAAAAAACAACCGTAAAAGAGATGTTCCCATAAAACAGAAGAAGGCTTATCCAGGTGATCGATCTCTCCTAAAAACAAGGAGACATATGGAATAAGATGTAGGTCAAGTTGAAAGCCAATAACAAGAGCACTTGATAGAGGCAAAAGATTCCCAGCGGGATGTAACATCAGGAGAGGTCAGAGAGGTGATAAGAAAGTTCAGTATAAAGCAAATCTATAGTCAGCAATATTCTAATTATACAAGTTGAGATAGCTTTAATCATCTTTCACTATATGGTATGTAGTATATACATTGATCAAAAGAAGGGTCAACAAAGATGTCCCTCCCCTTCATTCCCAATGCATTGCATTGACTAATTAACTGGGATGCAACTACCATTCTCTCTAACCTCTTTCAGTCACTGCTGTAAGTAAGAGCCTTGGCCTCACAGCCCACTCGCTCATTCTGCACTTGACAGTCCTGGAGGAAAAGTCATTCACCACAGGTGTCAGAGGAAGCTCCGGGCTAATGCTGGAAAGTTTCAGCCAGCGGGCAAGTGCTGAGTGGATTTTCCTTTTTAGGAAAACTGAGTCTGATATAACAGTCTGAAACGTTTCCACTAGCAACAAACCAAACTGCAAGTGCGCAAAGTCTGTGATCATACGCAATTTAGCAGCGTATAAAAGAAATCATCATCATCCTCATTAATTTAACTTTCCGGTTTCTAATTAGTAAGCTTTGACTTGATCACGTTCTGCAGGACACAGTTTGCAATGCTGAACAACGAACGTATAAGTGCGGCAAGTAAGGTTCCTAATGAGGAGAATGAGCGGAGCAGGCCACAGCTTTGAGACAGAACTGCTTGAATTTTCTTCCTTAACCTCAGCACCCAACAAAGACATAGAAGACTTAATTCAGAAGTCAGGCTTCTTCATTTACTTTATTACACTGCTCTTTGAAACAGACAGAACTAAAAATTGGATGGATAAGAATAAAAATAAAAGGGTTTGGAAACAAGTCTTCCTCCCTGCCTACTGCATCTGGGCAGATTAGGCTCTTTTTCAGGCTTGCTTTTGTTACAGCAAGTCAAGATGGCATCAAACTCTACACAGTCACCCTTGAAGTCTCCCTCAAAAGACTTCTTTCTTTCGGTCTTTCTTTTGCTCTTTGGTCTGAATACCTGCTCTCACGATGAAGCCTCTGCTGCAAAGCAGTTGTCTTCCCATGTCTCGTTTGCCTCTGCGCCTTCACCCCGTGCCCATTTTGCGGATTTCCTCCCTTGCTAACGCTCCCCGACTCCGTGCACCACGATGATGCAAACAGCAGCCTTCCCCAACGCTGCCTTGCTACACCACTTTAAAGGAACATAGCCGCCTGCACTGTGTTTAAAACTAAAGCAGATATATCTTATCACCTGGAGGAAATACAACAAAACTTCCAATGAGGAGCACTGTGACACTGTCACTGTAATATGAAAAGTTTGGTAGTTCGGATGCACGCGCTTAGTTGCCACAGCACTTCACTCCACGTTTCCTGGCAGGAGCAGGGAGTGACAAGACTGCGATTCAGAAACTTTCCTCAAAAGCTACACTCTGAATGAAGCCAAGTAAACATGGGTAAGAGACTCCAGGGTCATGCTTCTGCACTGACATTAAAAGATTTAACAGGACCTAGGAATCTTGCACACTTCATAGAACAAGCAAATAACCAAAGGTCACTCTCTGCCTAGCTGCTCTCTTTGCAGCTAATGCTGGGCAAGGAAGATTCAACAAGGCTGCCTCTGGTAGCTATAACCTACCAGAATACTATGAGCTGCCTAACCACAGTCAAATGTACAAAGATGGTGCTGCCCATACCAGATTTAGCTTGAGGTCTCACATGAGGTCTCTCATAGACTGTTCGTACATACTACTCCTCTTAAACTGAGCTTTCGTTAAGGCTTATTTTCTCAGGAAGGATGCTTCCACCTCCACCTCTCTCCTTGCTTTCCTAAAGGCACATTTCTCCTACCTCAGACAAAACTGGTCAGATTTCTGATAAACTCATTAAAAGTATTTGCCCACCTTTGGAAGCCCAATTCTTCAGAGTCTGGAAATAGTAAAGCAAATACCTCTGGCAACCAAAAACTAATTTCTATCCTTTGTGCCTGCCATGCTGTGATAAAGGGATCACCTATGAGTAAGATGAAAGAGCAGACAAACACTTTTCAATCTCAATTTTAAGAGAAAACAGAAAGATCTTGTCTCCTTGCAGCTAAGCACATTTGAATTTTCCTGAGATGGCTGCATTTTTAACTGTTGGGTACATACTGTATCTTGTAGCAATTAAACAAAATATTTGTTGCTTGATGCGCCCAGATACCTTCAAGCATCTTGCATAGACTTGTTGTAAGCACCTCTACCATATACCTTCAAACTAGCAGCATGGCTCTTGGGACCAACAGCACTGGTGAATATCAGCAACCACTTGGTCAAGGGAGGAAAGTGAATTTCTTTCTTCCACGGTAGCCTGATCCTGGAAGTTTTGATTTATACATACACATTGTTTACCATACAACTCGTCTGGCAACACATTACTCAGTGAAGACTCCATATTTTAAAAATATCCCATTTTACTTTTGTCTCAACTTCCTGCCTGTCATTCCGACCTCAAAGGTAATCATTTAACAATGTATTTAGACATATTCAGGCATTCTGTTCATTTTTTAAATACTAAGAATGTTTCTATGAAGGCAACCTATTTTTCCATTTGAAAATCCATCTCTCTATGCCTAAAGCCATCTAGTCATCTAAGAGCTTTTTTTATCACTACCACCCATCATTGGTGGAGTGCTGATAATAAATTACTGCAGTGTCTAGATATCTTAACTGAGGTCTAGCAATTCATGTTCTGCAGAAATAACAAAATAAGACGACTCTTGGTCCTGAAGAGTTTAGAATCTAAAAAAAGGCAAGAGATGAATGTACAGGCAAGAAGAACATGGAGAAAAGAAAGAAAGTACTGTGATTAATATGCTGAGACTACAGACATCCAGTTTTTGATATTTCCAGAAGCAGTAGGAGTATTAAAACCTACAAAGATTATATTCTCAACTTTCTGTCTATATATAACATCTGTGCTAACACTGCATTTGGTGAAACCACACTCGTTTGGAACTACAATGCTAAAATATACTCAGTCATGATATTCAGAGTATCTGCACCCTTCCTGCAGTCTATACAAGTTTGCTGCTATTCTTGTCAGCTAATACTGACATCAGTTCAGTAAATGACAACAATTCACAGCTCCATTTTGCAATAAGGAAGAAACAAAGAGAAAAAGGGAAGAAAGGACTCAAGGACAGCAGCTCTAAAACATACCAAAACTTGGTGGAAGATGAGCATATACATGCTTTCCTCTATGAGAAATCATTTGCGAAAAGCATTAGCAGAATGTGATTGCACAGAGCAATACAGAATTTTTGCTGTCTGTTGCACAGTGCTTTAGGGGAAGAGAACTTATGCTTGGCATAAGCAGAAGGCTTGCACCAGACAGGAGGTGAGGGGGTGACCAGGCAGCACAGCGCACACGAGTCAGTGGAACGAGGACAGGGAACACAAACACATATGGCATAAGTCCTCCTTGGTCCTTCTCCTGCCTTTCAACATCAAAAATCTTCATCAATAACAATTTCTAAAAATATTCAGAGAACTCTGTAACATTACATCATAGTAGTGCTGAACTGAATAAAAGTTAAAAAAAAAAAAAACTCTGAAAGCTTAGATGAAAGTACTGAAGACTCATGCACATTT